CTTCCTGCTAGGACTTTAGCAATGATTTTATAGAGGACATTACAACAAGCATGGGCCTATACTCTTTGATTGTAGCTGGATTAGCTACTTTTGGAATCAAAGTTACTGCAGTGCAGTTGATGCCTCTGAACATAATACATGTTATAAAGAACTCCTTCTCTGCTTCTATAACTTCATTCTTGATAATTGACCATGCTTTTTTTATAGAATACTGCATTGTACCCATCCACCCTTGGGGCTTTGTCATCTCCTATAGAGCATAATCCATCATAGATTTCTTGTTCTGTTACTGCTTCACATAGCTGGAGTTGTTGATCATGCTCCAGCTTTCTACCTCTTCTCATGATCTTCTTATTTACTGCTGTAACACTTGGTATTGCGATGCCCATAAGTGATTGTAGAACTGAGTAATCTCTTCCCTTATAGCTGCTGGATTAGTCAATCTCATTCCATCAAGAGAATCAATCTCAATAATTTGTTTATTTTGTTTCCTATCTTTCGTGGCTGCTGAAAAGTAGCTAGTGTTAGAATCTCCAAGTTTTATCCACATTGCCCTAGCCTTCTGCTGCATTATACTTTCTTCAATAAAGGACCACTTTTCAAGCTAGCATATTATATTCTTCTCTTCTGATGCAAGTGTATCTGTATAATGTGAACTTATCTTAATCTGAATCTCTTTCAAGTCTTCTCTTGCTTGTTCAATCTTCCTAGCAATACCATTGAACTCAGTTTCATTCAGAATCTTCAGTTTTCCTCTTAAGTCTTTCTGTTTCATCCATATGTTTTTCATTGTATCTGGATGCAGAGCTTGTTCCCATCAGTCCTTCACTATCTTGGGAAAGTTCTAATGTGATGCCCAAACATTAAAAAACTTGAATGGCGGATTGATCTTTGGTTCCCTCAAGTTAGTGTGTATCATCACAGGGCTGTGGTTTTATATGTGAGGGAGCTTGTATTCAGCAGTGAGATATCCAAACTGCATCATCCATTCTGCATTTCCTATTGCTCTGTCAATTCTACTCCAAATTCTATCTCCATCTTGCTGTTTATTTTTCCATGTATAGTAATCTCCCTTACATGGTAGCTCATTCAGCATCAGGTTTTGCACACAATCAGTAAAGTCCTTTATTTCCAAGCTAGTTACTGTTGTACCATACAGTCTATCTTGTAGGTATAGTATAGAATTAAAATCACCCCAGATAATCCAGGGTTTACTTACCTTCTATGAGATTCCTGCAAGCTGCTACCATAACTCCTTTCTTTTTTCAATTGTTTTGTATCCATACACCACTATCATATCACAATCAATGACTTGGTTCCTACTAGCCACATTACAGTGTATTAGTTGTGCTGCTTGTTGTACAATTTTGACATGATATACTGCACTATCCTAGAGCATCCAGACTCTACCATTGACTGCACTTGCATAGTTGTTTTCAAATTCCCATACAGGGGCTATTTTTCTACTAATTTTGATTGCATTGTGTTCCTTGACTCTTGTTTCCACCAATCCAACTAGCTTTACTTTATTCTCTTTAAGGTATGTAGTACTTTCTTTTTGTTTATACCTTTTATTTAACCCCCTCACATTCCATGCTAGCCAAGACATTATTGATGGCATATGAATCCCCCTCCTAAATCAGAAGGGAGTAAGGTTGCCATCACAGCATCATCTTGTTGCAATATGTCAAATTCATTTCTCACAGGTATAGCAACTTCTACTGTTTGATTCACAGGTCTTCCATTTATTTCTCCAGCAGCCTTTCCTTTCAGCTTCTGCTTCTCTTTGGCTTGGGGATCTATCTCTTCAGTTGTCATTATTTCTGCTTCTTGTTGTGCTTGTTTGGTTGCCCCTGCGTAGCTAGTGCCCTGCTGATCACCAGCAAAGGCAGTTTGCTTGTGTGTATCTACCTTTGGGACCCAAGTTGAAACCAATTTTTGAGGTCTTTTCTTCCTCTCAATTGGTCTGGTTTGCTCATGGTCCTTTATTTGTCTTCAAGTTATCCCTTCTTTGCTTATCACAATTGTGGCCTGTCATTAGACATTGTTCACAGTATTCAGGTTTCCATTCAAATATCACTCCCTGCTGAAATGTTGTCCCTGACGGATCCATCACTGTTATTTCAGATGGCAAGGCCTTGGTGACATTAACTTCAATGAGCATTCGAGCAAATGATATTCTAGTTTGTTTTGATGTACACTCATCAGCATATTTAGGAACACCAATAGCACTGGCTATCCTACTCAATGAGTCACTACTCCAACAGCTCATGGGCAGATTTGGGAATTTAACCCGTAGAGGCAATTCTGTGAGGAACTTTGCATTGAAATCGAAGTCTGGAGTCCATTGCTTTAAAATCATAGGTCTGTTGTTAATGCTATAAGGTCATGCATACAATATTTAATTCATATCTGCTATGTTTTTGAATTTAACAACATAATATCCCTCCTCGTGATAGTAGATTTCAGGCTCCGGTACAATATTTCAGTTTTGGTGCACATATTTACTCATGAAGTTATACCCAGGTGTATCTCCCACCACATATACTATTAGCGCCGACTTTCATTTGTCATTCTCCTTTTCTGTTTCTCCTTTATCAAGCTTAACAATTACTGATCCCTCAACTAATTCCGGAGGAATGTAATCAAGAGACATACCATTAGTTGCAATACCATTACAATTGAATAGCCAGTCCAAGTGGGCGCTGGGTCCTGTATCTTCGGTGTTGCTTCAACATTCTCCTTTGTTGAGTCATTGTTGCTTATACCACCATGTGGTTTGCCATTTCTAGTCAATTGCGTCTTCAAGTCTTCGCTGAGGTTCAATTGCTTAATCCCAGGGTTCAATTTCACCATCGATGCTAGTGGTGAAAGTGCCGGAAAATGCGTTGCTACTGGTGTTGAGATTCTCTGTTCTCCTCCATTTCTAGGGTTTCAGCAATTACTCTAGCACTTACCGAGCTCCCTACTGTAACAATTGGTTGTTTCTTCGGTCTTCCTCGCCCTCTAGCCATGGTTGCCGCCGTCAGCGTAGGTTTACTTAACTTGCGCCGATAGCCCTAGTCTAGAGAGAGAAACTTTGCCTTGCGTTAATGATTTTTAAAGTCCTCGTTGTTTCCAGTAAATTAAAACATGGCTTTGTTTTTTCTTACAAGTTTTATAAATATTTAGTTATTGGTGTCTGGAGGAAGAAACATATTCTTAATTATGAAGTAAATAAACTATATATCTTCTAACGTGAAACGCGTGCTAATAAAAGAAGGGCTAACCATGATTTACCAAATTCAAATAAGTAATGTATTTAATCTAATTTGACTTCAATTCCTAAATATTAAGAATTTTCATGATTCATATAAGGAAAGATTTAATTTTTAAAATGTTAGTTAATTGTAAAAGTGTTAAATATTAGAAAAATATTTTAATTACTATTTTTTTCAATATAAAATTAATTATTAAAGAGGTAAAAAAGATAAATGATATCTCGCTAAAGGTTTCCGTGCTTTTAATATTGTGTAGATTTAACTAACTCAATAAAAGAAAAAACGTGGCTATAGAAATAATCAAAATCCTATATTTTAGTTGTACCAAAAATAATTATAATTAATAATTATGATTTTTATAAAACAATAAATGTACTTACAAATGATAGAAAAATCGATCAACATTTCATGTTAGAATTTTGTGTCTTCATAGTAATGCTGAAGAAATATTTTAGTTTTAAAGGTATAAAATGATGACCAACTTCAACTCTGTAGCAATTAGCCAATTAACTTTATATAATTTACTCCATAATTTTTTTAGGTTGTTACGTTCGTTAAATTTTTTACTTGAACTTTTTACTTTATTGTTAGGTTTATTTCTAGAATTTAAGCAATCATTTTTATACTTTTAGAATATTTATTATTTGAATGAATATTTATAAATAACCAAATATGTAGTAGGTAATTTTTAAAAATAATTCTTCCAAACCATACTTACTCATATTTCCAAAGTCAAGTCCTGGTTGTTTTCAATAAATTAAAATATTGGCTTTGTTTTTTCTTACAAGTTTTATAAATATTTATTTATTGGTGTCTTGAGGAAGAAACATATTCTTAATTATGAAGTAAATAAACTATATGTCTTCTAACGTGAAACTGAAACGCATGCTAATAAAGAAGGGCTAACCATTATTTTACCCAAATCAAATAAGTAATGTATTCAATCTAATTTGAGTTTAATTCCTAAATATTAGGAATTGCCATAAAGTGTTAAATATTAGAAAAATAATTTAATTACTATTTTGTTCAATATAAAATTAATTTTTAAAAGGGTAAAAAAGACAAACGATATTTCGGTAAAGATCTACGTGCTTTTAATATTGTATAGATTAAGTAAACTTTTTCTTTCATAGTGTTTTTTAGAAGAAAAAAAGTGTGTACCATTAAGGAATTAATATAATCAATCAAGTAAGTACTTTTTCTTAATTTGCACGATTATTTTGTAGAGTAGTTGTTGGAATACATCAAGAAATTTCTCAGCCTCACTCTTTAATTTCTCAACAAAGATTTCATACAGAAGAGGAGAAAAGGTTCGATGAAAAAGAAGAAGAGAAGAAAGGATTTTTTGGACAAAAGAATTTCGGACAAAACTAAGCTGAAGCCCTTTTGTGTGATAAGCCATGTGGCAAGCCACGTGGCACCATCTCAGCCAACAAGATCAATTAATGAAAATATAATCTGGACCGTCCATTGCACATGCTGAAGGAATATTAATTAGTTACATTGTTAGGATATAGCTAATAGAAATAAGACAAGTGTACATAATTCATAGGGTAGTTTATTTTCAGATTCTTTTCTAGGTAGCAAAATATCTGTATAAATATACAGTCTTCTTGTACAGTGATTCATTGAGAAATACAGAAATTTTCATAATCATCTCTCTAAATTCCTACATGGTATCAGAGCAGTAGCTCTTCTTCTTCTCAATTCTTCTTATTCTCATTTTTTTCTTAATCAACCATGTCTCCTTCTTCTGATGTTACTGCAACTCCCACTCCTACACAGGGATCTTCATCCACAACAATAGGCAATGGGAATACCATTGATTCCACCCATCCCTTCTTTCTCCATGCATCTGATGCACCAGGGATGATATTTGTCAACACATCATTTGATGGTAGAGGTTATGCTGGATGGAGCAGGTCTATCTTGATTTCACTTTCTGCCAAGAACAAGTTGGGATTTATTGATGGCTCTTGCCCCATGCCACTCCCAACAGATCCTACTTTTCAGTCCTGGAGCAGATGTAACCATTGGTTACATCATGGTTGCTAAATTCTCTGACCAAAGTGATTGCTGACAGTGTCCTTTATTCAAAAACAACCAAGGATCTATGGCTGGATCTGGAGCACAGGTTTGGACAACCCAATGGAGCCAAATTATATCACCTGCAAAAGGAGTTAGCTGATTTAGTCCAAGGATCAGCAGATATTGCTAGTTATTTTACCAAAATGAAACGATTGTGGGATGAGTTGGACACTCTTAACACTGATATGTACTGCTCTTGTAATTGTGAGTGTGGTGGTAAGAAGAAAATGCAACAGTTTAAGGAAGATGAAAGGCTCATTCAATTTCTCATGGGATTGAATGAGACCTATGGACAGGCTAGAAGCAACATTCTTATGTTCAAACCATTACCCTCAGTCAATCAAGCATATTCTCTTCTCATGCAAGATGAGAATCAGAGGGAAATTCATGTCAACTCTCATTTCCCAACAGATGGTTCTTCTTTCCTAGTGAGAAATCAAGCTTCTCAGAACCATCAGACCCCTAATGGTCCTCAATTCTACACTCAACAGAAGACTGGAAACAATTCCTATAAAGGGAACACTGCATATAAAGGGAAAAAGAATGCACAGATGTGTTCTTATTGCAAAATGACTAATCACACCATTGACAACTGCTATAGGCTTATTGGTGTCACGACTCGGATTTCTCACCATCGGGATCGTGATGGCGCCTACTCGTGGTAGCTAGGCAAGCCAACTTATTTACCTTTCATTAATAAATAAATCTGTTAACAATCTATAGCATCAATAAGAAATATGGAATTTAATAATAATAATAGCGGAAGTCTAATTTATAAGTCTGAATCAAAACGAGGAATAGTCAACAATAGCCTCTACCCAAGATTTGGTGTCACATTACTCACGAACCACTAAGAATAAACTAAATACAAAGGTCTGAAAGAATTATAATAGCTGTCTTTCTCAAAAACAATGAGGCGACAGTCAAAAGGAAAACATAAAGAAGAGACGTCGGGCCTGCGGACGCCTGCAACGCTACCTCAGTCTCGTGAATAGGAAAGTCTGCTCCCGAACTACTGCTGCTGTTGCTCCTCAAAACCTGGACCTGTGCAAAAATGCACAGAAGTGTAGCATCAGCACAACCGACCCCATGTGCTGGTAAGTGTCTAGCCTAACCCCGGCGAAGTAGTGACGAGGCTAGACTGGACATCACATAAACCTGTGCAGTTATAAATATACAGCGGGAATCGAATATCAAGTAATTAACAACAAGGGCAGGGAGACATGCTAAGGGGAGATACAATATTAACAGCAATCCAGAGTAACAGCTAAAACAGCTTAGGTTCACAATGAACAAAGAAGCAATACTCAAATACAAACACATAGCCTCAATAACTGTTGCGGCGTGCAACCCGCTCCATAATTACTATTGTTGCGGCGTGCAACCCGACCTATATCATTTATCATGTATCATTGTTGCGGCGTGCAACCCGATCCTCAATATCATTTATCAAGTATCATTGTTGCGGCGATCAACCCGATCCTCAATATCATTTATCAAGTATCATTGTTGCGGCACGCAACCCGATCCTCAATATCATTGTTGCGGCGTGCAACCCGATCCTCAGTATCATTTAACAGTCCAACTCCCCAAACAACAGTCACAATTAAGGGGCATAAAAATAAGCAAATATTTGACAAACATCCCGGCAAGGGAATAACCAACAACGCTTTCTCTTTCTTACTTTTCTTATCTTATAATTCACTCTACTATTTTGAGCCAACGCTCCGAAGAATCAAGTCATTTCGTATGATTTCAATATTCGTATCACAATTCGAGCCTATGCTCCCAGGAAATCAAATGATCATATTACCGTTCACATGCTATTCACAACATATAGAAATCCTCCAATACACACGGAGTTCACAACCAAGTCATGATAATCACGTTATAAGGACTCACGGTCATGCTAGACACCAATGTATAGATACTCGTCACCATGCCTATACATCGTACTCGATCACATAGCAATTAGCAACAAGACTCAACTCCTATTCCCTCAAGCTAGGGTTAAACCAAACACTTACCTCAAAGCCTTGAAATCCACTTAATCCTCAACTATTGCTTTACCTCGCGGTTCCACCTCCAATTCGCTCGAATCTAATCACAAATTGCTCAATTACTTTAATAAACATTATATGAATCAATTTGGATGCATAAAAAATGAGTTTCCCAAGTTTTTCCCAAAAATTCCAAAATCGCCCCCGGGCCCACGTGGTCAAAACTCGAGGTTCGAACCAAAATCCGGTTACCCATTCCCCCACGAGTTCAAATATATAATTTGTTTTGAAATCGGACCTTAAATCGAGGTCCAACTCCCCAATTTATGGAAAACCTAGGTTCCACCCAAAAACCCCAATTTCACCCATGAAAATCCTTGATTTCAAGTGGAAAACATGTTTAATGATGTTAAAAGTTGAAAGAATTGAGTAAAAATCAACTTACAAATGATTTGGGATGAAGTTTGCTCTTGAAAAATCGCCTATGGTGTTTGGGTTTTGAAAGAATGGTGAAAAGTGATGAAAATTCGACTAAGTATAAAATTTGCTGGGCCTCGGATATGGGAATTGCGAACCATGGTTCGCAATTGCGAACAAAACAGGGCTGGGAATTGCGACATTCTTAGTTCGCATTTGCGAACCCATGTCTGGTGGCCAGGTTTCGCTTTTGCGAACATTCGATCGCATTTGCGACCAGGGCCACCTCGCATTTGCGAGCCAATGGATCGCATTTGCGATCCCAAGCCTTTTCCCCAGACTTCGCATTTGCGAAGTGTTGATCGCATTTGCGACAGTGCCCCATTTTCCCAGACTTCGCAATTGCGAAGCAATGCTCGCATTTGCGAGCTCGCAATTGCGAGTCTTCCCTTCGCATTTGCGAAAATTGCAGAAGCCAGCATACCAGATTTTTAAAACATGAGAAATGCAATCCGATGCCTATCCAAAACTCACCCGAGCCCTCGGGGCTCCAAACCAAACATGCATACAACCTCAAAAACATCCTACGGACTTGCTCGTGCGATCAAATCGCCAAAATAACATCAAAATCATTGAATCAAGCCTCAAAACACACGATTTTTCTTCTAAACTTCATAAACTTTCAAACTTGGAACTTATAGTCCGAAACACGTCAAACGACGTCCGATTTCGACCAAACATTACAGAAAGCGCTTAACACATATTTAAGACTTGTACCGGGCGTCGGAACTAAAATACGAGCCCGATACCATAGTCTTTTAATAAATTTTTATTTCTATTTTCCTTAATAATTTCAGAAAACAATTTCACGAAAAAATTCATATCTCGGGCTCTAGGCCTCGGAATTCGATTCCGGGCACATGCCCGAGTCCCATATTTTTCTACGGACCTTCCGGGACCGTCCAATCTCGGGTCCGGGTCCGTTTACCAAAAATGTTGACCAAAGTCAACTATAATCATATTAATATCAAAATTCTTCAAATTTTTCACGGAATTCACATATTTCGACATAACAGCTTTCCGGCTACGCGCCCGGACTGCGCACGCAAATCGAGGCAAGTCAAAAAAAAAAAGGTTTTAAGGCCTCGAAAGCACAGAATGGATGAGGAAATAGGTGATGACCCTTTGGGTCGTCACATCCTCCACCTCTAAAACGATCGTTCGTCCTCGAACGGACAAAAGAGAGAAGTACCTGAGTCGGGGAACAGATGTGGATAACGGCTCCGCGTATCGGACTCGGACTCCCAGGTCGAGGCCTCAGGGGGATGACCTCTCCACTGAACACGAACAGAGGGAAAACTCCTAGATCTCAACTGACGGACCTGCCGGTCTAGAATGGCTACCGGCTCCTCCTCACAAGATAAATCTTTGTCCAACTGGACAGTGCTGAAGTCTAATACATGGGTAGGATCGCTGTGATACCTCTGAAGCATAGACACATGAAAAACTGGGTGCACGGCTGATAAGCTAGGTGGCAATGCAAGTCTATAAGCCACCTCTCCCACTCGATCAAGAATCTCAAATGGACCAATGTACCTAGGGCTAAGCTTGCCCTTCTTTCCGAACCTCATCACGCCCTTCATAGGCGACACCCGGAGCAATACCCGATCACCAACCATGAAAGCTACGTCTCGAACCTTACGATCTGCATAGCTCTTTTGCCTAGACTGAGCTGAACGAAGTCTGTCCTGAATGACCTTGACCTTCTCCAAGGCCTCCTGAACTAAATCTGTACCTATCAACCGAGCCTCTCCCGGCTCGAACCATCCAATCGGAGACCGACACCGCCTACCATATAAGGCCTCATAAGGAGCCATCTGGATGCTCGACTGGTAGCTGTTATTGTAGGCAAACTCTGCTAAAGGCAAGAACTGATCCCATGAACCTCCAAAGTCAATAACACAAGCCCGGAGCATGTCCTCCAAAATCTGAATAGTCCGCTCGGACTGACCGTCCGTCTGAGGATGGAACGCTGTGCTCAACTGAACCTGGGTACCTAACTCCTACTGAACCGCTCTCCAGAAGCGCGAGGTAAACTGCGTACCCCGATCCGAAATGATAGATACCGGCACTCCATGAAGGCGAACAATCTCCCGGATATAAATCTCAGCTAACCTCTCGGATGAATAGGAGACTGCCACTGGAATGAAATGCGCTGACTTGGTCAGCCTATCAATAATGACCCAAATAGCATCAAACTTCTTCCGAGTCAGCGGAAGTCCAGTAATGAAATCCATGGTAATCCTCTCCCACTTCCACTCGGGGAGCTCAATCCTCTAAAACAAACCACCGGGTTTCTGATGCTCATACTTGACCTGCCGGCAGTTCAGACACCGAGCCACATATGCAACGATATCCTTCTTCATCCTACGCCACCAATAATACTGCCGCAAGTCCTGATACATCTTCGCGGCGCCCGGGTGAATAGAATACTGAGAACTATGGGCCTCCGCTAAGATCAACTCTCGAATCCCATCAACATTAGGCACACAAACTCGCCCCTGTAATCTCAAAACACCATCATCATCTAAGGTCACCTTCGTGGCACCTCCACGCTGCACCGTGTCTCTCAGGACACACAAATGGGGATCATCAAACGCCGATCACGGATCTACAATAGAGAAGAACGAGCGACTGTGCAAGCCAACACTCTGCTAGGCTCAGAAATATCTAATCTCACAAATCAGTTGGCCAAAGCCTGAACATCTAAAGCAAGCGGTCTCTGGCTGACCGGGATATAAGCAAGACTACCCATGCTGGCGGACTTCCTACTCAATGCATCGGCCACCACATTGGCCTTACCCGGGTGATATAAGATAGTGACATCATAATCCTTCAACAACTCCAACCACCTCCTCTGCCTCAAATTCAAATCCTTTTGCTTAAATAAGTACTGCAAACTCTTATGATCGGTGAACACCTCGCACGTCACGCCATACAAATTGTGCCTCCAAATCTTCAAGGCGTGGACAATGGCTGCCAACTCCAGATCATGCACTGGATAGTTCTTCTCATGAATTTTCAACTGCCTCGAAGCATAGGCAATGACCTTGCCATCCTGCATCAACACTGCTCC